GGTTGTTTTTTTAAGAAAAAGCCCAAAGGTGGGTATTTCCAAAGGTCCTATGTGACCCCAAAGACACCCTGTTACAGAACAAATCTCAGCAGGGTATTGCCCGTGGCAGACCGTGGCCGAGGCCGGCCGGCTGCATTCGCTCCACACCCGTGTGGCTTTGCTGTTGTTTGGGGCACTGGGTCAGGTCTGATGGGGTGTCAGGGGACAGGCTGCCGATCAAATAGCCATGATGACCGGGACTGTCTCCAAATAGCCACCACTGCAGGAAAGTTTAGAAACCAGCTGGCTAAAAGACAAAGCCCAGAGCGTGCCGTTCCTTCTCCTTCACTCCAAAGAGAGCACAAAGGGGCTCCCAACCAGCCAGGTACTGCCTAAACACCCCCAGGCAGCGCAACGGGGAGAGAGTCTGTGTAGCTGTCCTTGCCACTCACCGTGCCATCAGCTTTTAAGAGCTACCTGCAGGGAACAGTATTTAGGGAAAAAAGAGAAAAAAAAGAAGAAAAGAAGAAATCCATCCAAAAATCCATCCCTTTGTGACTCCAAATCTGACCCCAAAGTATGATTCATGACCAAAAGCGATGAAGAGAGCTTGTGGTGACTTGAACAATGATTTTTCCAAGCAGAGGCAGTGCTAAGCAGGGAATGTGAGACTCCTGAGAAAGCAGGAGGAATGCACTCCAAGCCTGAACACTGCAGATGAAATTTGTTGCATCATATAATCTGGTTTTGTGCTTTGAGTTTCAGCTTGACGGGGAGATACTAAGATAGCACGAGAAAGGCCATTTCCGCAAGATCTCCAGTCCAGATTGGGAGAATCAGTCAGACTGCCAGGATCACCAGCGATTTTATTTACTTTTCTTTTTTTCCTTGCTTTGCTAAACCCAATCTTGGAATGAAGCAACCAAGGAGGAAGTGTCAGTGTATAGGTGCCGATCAGAGGCAGAGAGGAAAAAGGTTAAGATACAACAGCTGAAAGTTGTTAAATGAAAACATTATTTTTTAAAAGAGCCTGAGAGCACTGGGGTTTTATAAAACCTCCCATTGTATTGCAATAATAAGTCAAGTGCTCACAGCCAAGCCAGCAGATACACTCTACAGCAAATTCTATTACTGGCGTGTTTATTTACAAAGGGAGCCACCGACCCAAAGCTGAACAGAAAAGAGGAAAGACTGAAATATGGTTTTAAAGAAATACAGCTCCTTTGACTGGTTTTAATTTAAAATCCTCGGACTGGGTTTGTCATTTTCTTTTGTGTTTTGCCCCCTCCTCCCCATTTTTTCTTCAAGGAATGAATTGTCCAAAGCCAGCCAGCCAAAGGGGAATTTTCCTCTAGGTGTCTCTGTCCTCATTTTTATTCTCCATTTTTTTCTCATACAGACACACGCAGACTCTTTTTCTCTGGCCTTCCCAGTCCAGCATCACTTTGTCCTTCCCATAGTGGCCTCGCACATCCCAGCACAGTGCTCCCCGAAGCACTTCACAACCCAAACCTGCCCCAGCACCTTTCTCGGTCCCCCGGTGCAATGTGGCCACCCCATGCGGGGGCAGCGGCCACACATGGGAGCGCAGATGGTGGCTGGGGACAAGGAGCCAGAGCTACCAGCTGGGTCCTGCCAGCCCAGCAGGGCTGTAGGCAGGGCACCGTGGAGACGTACGTGATTTCATCTGAGCAGACACCTGCACCCGTGCTGTACATATGGCTTTGCAAAAGTCATTACCTGCTCTTAAAACACAGGTGTGGGGCCTGGATTTGTTAGATTTGACCCGAAATCCAGAGACACACACAGGCACGTGCATTGTCTGCTCTGCTACTGTAGTTCAGGAGAAAGCGCTGTGTCTCTATCAGCCCATACCTGCTACAAACCTGCTCCTCTCTCTTCGGAATATTTTGCATCCCAACCAAGAGCACGTGGAAGGGAAGAAACAAAAAACCCCGCCAGGCTTTGTCAGGGAGAAATCTGTGGTCACAGCAACACACCGTTGCCTTCCCCAGGGGAAGCTGGGGGAGGAGGGAGGAGAACGAGACGAAAAGGTGGGAGCAATTTTAAACAAAAGCAATTTTTAAACAAAAGGAACAATTTACTTACATTAAATTATTGCTTTATTTCTGGTTCTATGCAAGTCTCTGACACGCTCCACCCTGCCTCCCGAGATGCCATGTCCGCCCCTAAACAGCCCAGTAAGGAGGAGAAAGACCTGAAGGGATCCTGCCCGAAAAAGGAGCCTTTCCAAGACTTGGATCTACAGAGGAGTCTCTTAGTTAAAAGAAAGTCCCCAGCCAAGGCAAGTCCTCCTACCCAATAGTGTCTGGTCCCACCACCATCCTCTGTAGATGTTGAAGGGTGGGAGGGAAAGGGAAGGAAAAGCTCCAGCCCCAGTGTTTTGAGAGGAGTCCTCCTTCCAGGCTGTGCATGAACAAGGCATCAGGATGTGGAGCAGACCATAACAGGGAGGGCATGGGGGAGAAGTCAACCAAGAGGCATTTCAGGGTGAGAGGAGAGGAACTGTGGCAAGATGAGAGTTACCCAGCTCTCCTTTGCCTCTCCTCCCAGCCCCTGCCTCATCGGATGCGGAGGTACGAGGGGATGGAGTAATTGAAGAGCAAGTAGTCCATTTTGTATAAATTAAAGAGTCTCCTTTGGTAGAAGGGGCTAATGTCCTGGAAGAACTGGGCTGTCATGTCGTCCGTTGTCCTGGTAGTCTTGGATGAAGATGGGAACTTGACACTTGTGTCGGCCCCAACCAGCTGGAGGATGTAGTTGGCATCTTCAGACAAGGTCTCATACTTGCCCACCACGTCATAGTGGACGATGCAGGGGTGGCAAAGTGAGTGCACCCGCTCCCAGTGCTCGTTGAAGGGCTCCTCCCGCTGCGTCCGGGGATCCAGCAGGTAGTAGACGAACTCCTCGAAGCGCACGTCGTCCCCACGCTCCAGGGCCTTGTCGCTGGGCTCTTGCCGGTGCCGCCGGATGATCTTGGTCCCGTAGCGCTTGTGGAAGGCCGTGTTGTAGCTGCGAGTGAACTTGTTGCGATATGCTGAGACCAGGCGCTCAAAGGGCTCGCGCACAAAGATGAACTTGAGGTAGCTGCGCAGGCGGTGATTGATCTCAGGGATGCTATACTCAGAGAGGGTGCGCAGGTTGGATGAGACATGGGCCTCGTTGGCGGGGATTTCCAGTGGGTCCCGGTACTTGCCTTGCCCCGTCAGGACCATCATCACTCGCTTCCAGTTAGTGCAGGCCACTTTGGGCACGTAGCAGTAGAGCAGCCCATGCGTATCATCCACAACCAAGTGCCGCAAGTCATCCGGCCGCAGGAGACGCCGCTTGCGGGTGTAACGGTTGCAGATGTTGCTCAACAGCTCCCGTCTCTGCTGGTGAACCGCCTGCAGTGATGACTGTTCAAACTGGGGAGAGGGAAAAAAAAAAAAAAAAAAGAGATGGTCACTAGCTTGCCCAAGCTGATCATGGCCTACAACACAACTGTCCCCATCCCTTCCACTTTCCTGGATTTGGCAGTCACCCATGTGAGATTTTTGGGGACAGTGTTGACTTTGAACACAACTTGCTTTGATGCATTTAATCCTTGATCCTGCTGGGGGCTAAAGACAGAATAAAATGTGATGAGGAGGCAGGTAAGGAGACAAGTCAAAGAGGGTGAGGGAAGAACAGGTGGTGCAGAGAGGGTCAACAACCAAATATTGCTTACCGCACCCCCCCACACTGGGCTAAAGCTCTCCCTTACGCCAGCCGGGGGGGGGCATACACAGCCCGACCCCTCCGGGGCAAACAGTGCAGCCCCTTCGCTGGCGTGGGGCCCCACACGCCGACACCGCGGGCTCTCTGTGAGCACCGCAGACAAGGGGCAGGAACATGGCATGCGAGCACGGGCACGCATGAAGAAAACGGCGTGGGTGTGCTGCCAAGGAAAGAGAAAGGGAGACGGGGGGAGGAAAACGGTCTTTAATGCTGACAGTCAAACCCTGGAGAGCAGTCGAGGAGCTGGAGGCAAGGTGGGGTGACAGGGTGTGATAGAGAGGAGTGAGGTGCTGCTGGCAGTGGTGGGGTGGCCCTTCCTGAGGGCTTTGGATTTCTTCTCCTGAGGGACTTTTTTCCACACAGGCCAGTTGGATGCCTCAGCTCTGGTCATAGTCTCCTTTATGCACAGAGATGAGGAGTCCATATACAGTCCTTTTCCTTTATCCCTTTTCATCTTTGCATTAAAGCCTGGCAGCCACTGCATTGGCTTTGCAGGAGCCCAGAGCCCCCCTAGCCCCTGCCCCAGCTGAAACTGCCCTCCAGTTTGGGAACATGGCCCTTCCTGTCATGGTTTTCATCAGAAATCCCAAAACGTCATTAAAACATCTGGGGAAGGAAATTATTTCCAGGAACTTAGAAGAGGAAGGTCCCCTCCTCCTGCCTGTTCCCTCCCTGTTTTGCTCATGAGGGTTGGGAGGTTTCACATTCAGCCCTGAGGTCATTGCTGGGAACCGCCAACAGCCTTGTTTGGGCCACGACCGCTAAGACCGCTAACGGCTTCACCACCCGTTTGCTAATCCGGGGCGGCTCTGACCCCATGGAGCTGTTGCTCTAATGCAATGACCCCCCATGTTGCAAGATGACGGTGGCTTCCACTGTGGGGTTGTGAAGACAGTCCCGCTGGCATCACAGGGTGCCACAGCAAATGTCTCTGCAGCCTGCAGACATGTGGTAACCTCAAGATGAAGGTCAAGGGCAGGCCATCTCCTTGGTCCCTACATCCTTACTGCTGACAGCTGTCATTGCTTATGCATGCCAAAGGACACCCTTTGCCAAGCTTCAGGTGCACCCTCACCTCTCCCTGGGGGACCATAAGGAGTTTTGGGAAGCACTAGAGCCTGGGAGAGGTGGCATTGTGGAGATGGGGCTTTGTAAAGTTCCTGCTAGGAGTTGGGATCCTGAGACAAACTGCCCATCCCATGGATGATCCATCAGACCCGTCACCTTCAGAGAAGCACCAACATCTGGGCAAAAACAGCTCCTCCTGCAAGGGATGAACCACACTCAGACCCTTTTGGATCTCATTTCCACTAAAGAAAGAACCTTGTCCAGGTCACCTTAGTGACCACTTTCTCCAAGAACCTGCATGGACAGTAACCTGAGACAGGGGCAGGAGAAAGCATCCCATCCCTGCTCCTTCCAAGGGGGAGATGATAAAGGAAAATGGTCAGATGGAGGAAATGCAGGTCAACAGACTCTAACTGCCACCAAGAGATGACTTCGACATTGTTGGCTACTTGGATATGAAGACACTATAGCACCTAGAGAGATGATAATCGTGGCTGAAGAGGCATTCTCGTGGTACATCTCTTTGCAACACAGCAGTCAAATCTTTCAGCAGAAATTTCTTTTGTTTGGAGGCTCTCCATCACCTTTTAAAATTGGAAACCCTTTTTGCAAGTGCTTAAAAAAAAAAGAAGCATTTTAATAATGTGATTTTTTTTTCAGGTGGTTTTCCCTGCACTTGCATAATTCAAAACTATTGGACCAGAGACAGACAGACAGACACACTGTCTGCAGGCATGGCAACAAATAAATGTGACTACTTTTCAACAGCCGCCCACTGGAATAAGCGCGTGTCTTGCAGTTATTTCAGAGCAAAATTGCTCCCTTCATTTCCTTTTCTTTAAAAGCCAGAGAAATTAAGTATCGCTTTTAAGGAAATAACATCACAAAATTCCAGCAGCGTTAGGATTTGCCAGCATCATGGCCAACGAAGTTCACATCTGCCATTTTTCCCAGAGCAAATGTAATTCGGCTGTTTATAGACATTAAAGCACCAACCTAGACAGTAAGACAAAGTGTCGCATATGGAAAGGAGATCTGGGTCCGGCTGCAGCAGGCACTGCCGATGGGCAGCGGGGATGGCAGCCAGCTGCAGGGACCACCAGCATTGCCCTCTGCTTCTTGGGGACTGCAGAAGATGACTGTCCTGTGGACGCAGAGAGATACAGGGCATGTTTGGTGGCTGGGGCATGTGGTCGTGGCCTGGCCCATTGCACCAGCTGGAGAGTGGTTTCCTGCAGGACTTCCTGCAGAGAAGTTGAGGGCGAGGATCTCTCTGCAAAGACAAGTCTGGCTGCGTGGGGGGAAAACTGCCCGCCCGGGGCGGGGAACACAGTAGAAGGAAACAAACACCTTTTGCAGCTTCAACCACTGAGCTGCTGAAGGACAAGTGGGACACCTTCCCTGATGCCAGTTCGGCTGCATGCACCAGGGCCTGGTGAGAGCAAGCGCTCCCTGCCCCAAGCAGCGACCATGGCTTGTTCTACAGCAGACCCTCGCGTGGGGAGGGACCCGCTGAGCCCACCTGGAGGGGAGGGTTTGCCTGCCCAAACTGTGCCTGGCTGCCCCTGTCTCAGCAGGTGTAGCTGGCACAGCTCAGGGTGATGGAGGGGCCTGAGATGTCCCAGGATTATAACCCCCCTCATGGCTGGGTCCAGCTTCATATATGTGTGTATATATATGTGTAGATACATATGTGTGTGTGTGTGTGTGTGTGTATATAGCACCCAACATAGAAGCATCTATTAATTATCAGCTCAGAAAGTGCGGCAATGATGCTCTTGCCCTGCGAGGATGGCCCAGGGTTGGCTTTGAAATCCTCAAACAGCAAAATCTCCTGGGTTTGCCTGGCTATAGCTCAGTCCACTGGTAACGAAACCTTTTGCCCAAGTACCACAAGGGCCATAAGCAGCTCTTTATCAACAATTGCTCCCCAAAACTGTGTGGTCTTCTCTTTCGGACACAGCCAGAGGTTCAGGTGTGGGGACCTTGGGGGTGGTGGGAGATGACACAGTGCCCCACACACCAGAGGGGTGGAAGAAGGGGTCAACCCCCCACTCCCTCTTCACCCCCCCCATTTCCCTCTCCCTGTCCCCTTACCTGATCACTCTCGTACAGGGCCTGGAGTGGGCTGCGACCAGCCTTCCCTTGCCAGGTGGATCTCATAGCCCCGTCTTCTGTGGCTGGAAAAGGAGTGACAAAAATCAGAGGGATTGGGGGTGGGAGCTGCTTCTCTTATTTTTTAACAAAGCCTGCAGTTAGGGTTCAAAAGGTCCCAACCTAACCTTTAAACAAATAAAAGACCATAAATAAAGACAATGGCTTGTTATGCTTTCAAAAGCAACTGGGAACAGTGTGATCCATGTGCACTTGGGAAATGCCAGTGCCTGCAGGCTGCATTGGCGAGGGAATGATCCAGGAGGCGACAGGACCCCAACCGGCATCGGCGCGGCCCTGCAAGGGGCAGGATGGTGTCTGTGCTCGGCAGAGATAAGGGGCAGACCCAACACCGACCGCTCTGTGCTGAGTCCCCACGGGCTCGGAGTTTGCGTTTCCAGGCTCAGAGACACGATCTTTAACAGACAAATTGGTCACATGCTTCGTCTAACTGTGGTAAGTTCTTAGTGCTATTTTCTCCTCCTCCTTCTCCCCCCTTCCAAATAGCAACATCTCCTCAAGTGTTTGAAGCTGAAGACAGCCACCCAAGCAGTCCTCACCCCTTCCCTGCCATGCAGATTGGCTGGTTTGATGTTGGAGGATTATTTGCTGCAGCACCAAAACCGAGGCTGGATGTGGCCACGAATGCAGTGCTGGACACCCCGTCGGTGACAGATGCTCAAGTTCTCATGCTCATAAATTATGAGGGATGCAACCACTTCCCGGGCTATGAAGCATCCGCTTCAGCTGCCATCTCTCAGCCCCAGGGACCCGTTTCCAGCACAGCATGGGCAGAACCATGTGGATATCCCAAACCTAATGCACAGAGCCAGCCATGACAGGGGTGCAGGCTCTTGCTTGCAGTAACACCACCGAGCAGGTGTCCCACCTCTCGCCCATCCTCTGCTTCCTGTATCTGACCCTCTCCATTGGCAGAGAATGCCAAAACAATTCTCATATGAGAAGGTGGTTTCTAACTATCGGGTTGTGCAGCCCTAATGTTGGCTTCCACGGAAGAAATCACACTGTGAGTTTTAAAATGGAAGAGGACGTTTTTTCTAAAGGGGATGGATGGGATACATCATTCAGGAGATGATGGCCTGGGAGGTTCTTCCAGTCCTCCAAGTTCCTGATCCTACAGGGACCTTCTAAAACCTCAGAGGGGTGTATGTGGTGGAGGGAAAAGCATCTCTCACACTCAATTTCTGACACGAAGTTTTCTAGCACAAAGGCTTTTTGCACGACAATTTGGACCTCTGAATCTTTTTGTTCACTGACCATCACCAAACAAAACCAAATTTGTTATACAAGCTCCAGATGGGATCTTTTTAACCAAAATAACCAAAAGAAAAAATCCAAATCCCATCTTCATTTTCATGTGCTTATATTTTGCTTAAATGAAAACTGCTCCAAAGCACAAAGTCACCAGGGTCTGAGCTAAACATTATTCATTCCTGGAGCTGTAATTAGGGGGAAACGACTGCCTGACCTCACAAGATTTTCACAAGATTTCATCAGCAGCGCATGTACACTTGCGTGTTCATGGGAAATGAGACTTCCTGCAGCACTGGATTGATCGAGAAGTGACTCAACGAGAAGGTACGGTTTCTTCCTCAATCCCCTGTATCAGTTACCCCACAAGAGGGTGAAACGGCGTCTGTGCTAATGAGAGATAAGTGGAAGATCCAACGCACACAGCACTGCGCTGAGATGCTCGTCCCAGAGGAGTCCCATTTCACATTTCCAGGCTCAGCCCTCTGCAAATGGCAGGGAATTAGACTGACCTTGAAAACTCGACTCACTGCAGCGTGAATCTGCAAGCAGAGAGCATTAAACTCGAATTCCCCTTCCCGGCCAGGGCTGATAAACTCCTGCTTGATTTAAGAGTGTGACCCCGCTGTGGGCTGTCTGCAAGCGCCCTGCACTGCAACAGACACTTGTCCTGTATTTAGTAAAAGCAACGTGGAGGCGTTTGTTTTCGAGATTAACATGTGCGTCAACCAGAACCTTTCTTACAAGGGACGTAGGCAAACCCTGGGTGGTTCAGGCTGACCTGAAGTTGCTAGAAATGCAAATTGCTTGTGCCGGCACTGCGCAGGGGCACATGGAAATGCATTTCCAGGGAAAGGCCTCATCACCCCGTGCAGGGTCAGGTCATGGCCCAGGAGGAGCGGGCGGGCTCGGCAGGAGGCTCTTTAGGGTGAACAAAAAGCAGATCTGCAGTAAAGTGGGGGGAGTGAGCAGAGGTCAGGCAGGTCAGATCTGTGCTCTGACTGCTCTGGGCTGTGCCTTTTGGTGCTGCTAAGGCAGGGGAACAAGCCTGGCCAAGGACTGCTGCACCTCGCATGACTCTCACCAACAGTCCCAGCAGAAATGTTGCAAAATGGATTTCTTCCAGCCTTTCCCCAGTGCAAGGTCTGGCAGAGAGCAAGCCAGATGGATAGCAGCAAACCTCCTAGGATCCCTGCTACACTCGTGCTGTACAGAGTCCCAGAAAAAAAAAAGTTCCATCAGCCCCAGCACCTGCAGCATCTCTGCTGATGCACTCCCCTCCCAGTCCATGCTGCATCCCAGACCCCAGGTCCTCATCATGCAGCTCTAGGAACACAGCTCAGCCGTCATTTGAACACAAACCCCTCTTCCGCGGCTGCACCATCCCAACCACCCCATCATGCAATCCCACGGTGTTCTCCCACCCTGGGGTCTCTCCCCATCCTGTCCTCGCCTTCACTGCCTGCCCCAAGCAGGCAATGGCCCACCGTAGCAAGGCTGAGCTCAAGGGGCTCCACAGCTGGCTGAACTGCACAGCTGGCGTGAGAAACCAAACGTGCAGGGGGAGCTGGGGAAAGGCTCGAACCTTGATCTGTGTCTGTTTCTTCCATCAGATCTGGGAGGCAGCCTGGAATGGGAGAAGGAGGGAGAAGGAAGGGGGCAGATGGGCAATGGCATTTACACAGCCCTCTTCTTCCACCCGTTCATGCTGAGTGTGAGTCAATCACCCCATCCCCTGTACGTTGGCTTACCCGTCCCTGGGATGCTCCTGGGACTCCCAAGAAGTTTGGGAAGGCCAAGGAATACTGAAATATATGACAGTGTTGAGGAGGGAGTATCATCAGAGTAAATTAATGGTTCATGCTGCATTTTGGCACCATGGCCCTGAGTACAGCAGGATCTTCCATCATGGGGGAGTTGCCAAAATCTTTGCATCCTGGCTTTTCTCCTGACTTTATAGCTTGTTACTGAGGTTCCCAGATTCCTCCACATGCAATGGTAATCCTTGGAAATTTAGCATCGCCACAACTGCATCCGAAAGCAGGGATGTCACTTAGCCAAGGTATATTGAGTTTCTAACGGAGAAAAAACGTCAACCCTTGGGAAGCGCTGGATCACCATTTGGGTAACAAGTATCAAGACAGTGTATGTCCATGATCCAAATCCAAAATTATTTTCACTGAGATGGGCAGAAGGTAATATTACATCTGTCCTTTGCATCTTCAAAGGATGAGGCAAGGGAATAGGAGTGATGCAGAGCAAGAGACTGAAAACCCCATGCTAAGGCAGTAACATGGACCAGAAATCACTGCATGAGATGAGCCTGAAAGGGAGCTCAGGCACATTTTGGAGTCTCCTGTGCTACAAGTGCTTTCAGTCTTTGGAGCTTGAAAAGGCAACATGCTCCCTCCCTCCTTTCCCCCTACAGCCCAGATTTTTAGCGCTGTCCTATCAAAACCAAAGCTATTCTCTTGCAGCGGTGTGACATCAATACCGCAGCAGGATCTGGGTTTTCAATGACTTGCCAGCTCTCTTTGGAAAAGGGAATAGATTTTAAAGCTGTAAATATTTAGGTGTACTAGTTGATTGCGAAGACAGCCAGACATGTGTGAAGTGAGGGAAAGACTGGATCATGCCCATCCCAGACTTCTGGAAGCACCAGTGAAAGAATTTGCTGTTTTGGCTGTACAGACTCTTAATTGCGGAGGGAGGTTCTCTGCAACCACAACAGCAAATCCAGCGCCTGAATTGAAGAGTTTGGCTAGGAGACAGGATTCAGGCAGCGACAAGCCTGCTAGGCTGACATCAGCATTACCAGGGCTTTAGAAAACAGTCTGAAGGAAAGAAAACAAAAGATGTGGGTGCAACTGGAAAGGGGAATAAAATCAACATGGCATTTACTAAGCGCAGCTTGCACCCATGCAACCTGATCTGTCTATAAAATAAGCATGAAACATATGTGGTAGATCTTCACCCAGATATACGTAATGCATGAGATATGACATACCACAGGAAATAAGTGCTTCAAACAGAGAAAATGAAGTTTAAAAGGTGAACTGTAAGGGACACAAGCCACTGGAAAGTAGGCGGCATTTAAATGGGAAATGCTGGGCAGAAGGCAGATTTCTAATAAAATATCTCAGAGATTGGCTTTGGGATCAATACTTCAGGAACGAGTTGACATAAAAATAGAAAGATAGTGATGACGGACAAAGCATTGAGAAACACCGCCAGGCCGGGAAAGACTGAAACGCCAACCAGGGAAACTGAAGCTTTGTCCTGGACCGGGGGAGCGGAAATTCAACAGAATTTGATTTGCAATGTTGGAATTCAGCAGTTTCTGCTACTTTGCTGCTGGAAGTGGCAGGAGGTCCCAGATGCATTAGTTCTGGGCTATCAGCTGCCAGTGTGACAGTCATAAAAAAAGCAAATGAAGTCCTGAAACATATCAGGTGATATATTTGCCATAGCAGCAAAAAACCCCCATGAATGCTATTATCCATAGCATTGGCGACCTTCACCTGCAGCACTGACAGCTCTGCTCTCCCGGGACCAAGGCAGATCCAGAGCTGCCGAGAAGGGCTGTGAGATGACCGGGCAATCCCAGCACTTGGTGCCCCATGGGAGGCTGAAAGGGCTGGATGTGTCTACGAGCTGAGCCGGGATGTGATCATCAGCAGAGCAGGAGGTGTTTCACAGGCAGGACATCTTCATGCCTGCTTGCTCATGTGCCAGATAGGAAGAGGTTTG